ACATAACTAGAATATGTTTTCTGCTACATATGCCATGTAGCATATCTCTGTAAAGGTTATGATCTACTGAATCTATTAATCCTATTTGTATGCATGTATCATTTTTGTACTTGAAGGTAGGAATATTGGCTCTATACTTGCTTGATTTCTATTCAGAAAGGAATGTGCAAATTAAATGCCCAATCAAGAACCACTTAAGCCAACAATGAACTCAAAGATGCCAATCCACATTGGAGCTTTCCCAGGAATGTGGCTTGGCTGGTAAGAAACTCAGTCATGCATGGACATGTGACTTGCTCATGTGACTCCAAAACTTCATCTTGGAGCTGGTCTTTGCATAGGAGAGAGAGAGGGTCTCCCCCCACAAGGGAAAGTCTATTTAAGCCTGTGGAAGACTCCTCCATTTTGTCTTCAGCCAGCTAAGGAGAGAGCCTCTCCACCCCAAGGATACCTGAAAGAAACTGGAACAAAGGACAGTAACTACATGGGGTGTGAGTGATTGCTGGACCCAGACTAGAATGAGACTAGTCTGTAAAAGGAAGCTTACTGGAACTGGTGAGGTTTTATTTGCATTCAGTTTTCTTAGACATAGACTTGTGTGTTCTATTTTATTTTACTAGGTAATTCACTTTGTTCTGTCTGTTACTACTTGGAACCACTTAAATCCTACTTTCTCTATTTTATAAAATCAATTTTTTACTTATTAACCCAAAGTATGCATTAATACCTGGAAGGGAGGGCAAGCAGCTGTGCATATCTCTCTATCAGTGTTATAGAGGGTGAACAATTTATGAGTTATAAAACAGATTTATTTGAGGTTTGGACCCCATTGGGAGTTGGGCATCTGAGTGTTAAAGACAGGAACACTTCTGTAAGCTGCTTTCCGCTAAGCCTGCAGCTTTGGGGCATGTGGTTCAGACCCTGGGTCTGTGTTGGAGTAGACTGGCATGTCTGGCTCAACAAGTCAGGGTGCTGGTGTCCCAGGAGGGCAGAGAAAGCAGGGGCAGAAGCAGTCTTGGCATATCAGTTGGCAGTTCCCAAGGAGGTTTCTGTGAACCAACTCATCACAGAGAGAAATTGACCACACCCCACAGTGGGGAAGAGGGACCCCTGAATCAGGGGAAAGGGGTGGAAAGACAGTCTCCAAGGTGAAGAGATAGCAACTGCAGAGACACAGGAGAGAGATGGATACCACTTCTCCCTCCTGTTTGGAGGAGATATCCAGAAGGAGGAGGGGAAGAGCTATTCCAAGAGGGAGTGAGGGTGGCGACCAAATGAGGAGTAGACAGCTAAATGGGAGGCAGTAAAGTGGATGATTAAAGAGAAAAATCCCAGGAGGGGAAAGGAGGAAGAGAGAAGTGAGATTCAAATGGTTTATACGAAGGGGTGTTTCAAGAAGACAGATGCCAGGGGAGTGGTCATGAGCAGAGAAAGGAAGAAAGACCACTTTTAAGAATATATAATGATAATGACTAGATTGAGAGAGACAGGCAGAGAGAAAAAGAAAGAGAAAATGTGGAAGAAAAGACAAAAGGAAAATCAAGTGACACATGGTAAGTCATTATTACTTCTTATGTCCAAAAAGCTATATCAGAAGAACAGTAAGATTGCAAAATCAAGCACTCAAAAGATAGGAAATTCTAGTATTAAGACTGACTGTGCAATCTTAATTTGCACTCCCACCCCAGAGTGCATGTGTAGATAATTTTCACATTTGACTATTGATTTTGGATACCTCCAATTTTTAATGCCGAAGGCACTCAGCACTTTTAGAAAATCAGACCCCTGCAAGATGTCTCAATATATTTAGGCCACTATATTTTTTAAAATTCTCACTAGTCTCCCAAGCAGACATTGGACAAATTTAATATTCACTAGGGAAATAGGGTTGCCACCTTTCTAATTACTGGTAACTGGACCCTGAGGCCCTGCTCCTGTCCCACCTCTTCTCCCCTAGGCCCTGCTCCTGTCCCACCTCTTCCCCCCCCCAAGGCCTTGCCCCTGTCACTCGGTCCTTTGCTTCCATCCCTCTGTCGCTTGCTGGATCATCTACACCTCCTTCCCCTCCAAGCTGAGCTCCCTCTTCTCCAGGGATGGGATGGGAGCTGCTGCAGCCTGAGCAGGGGTTGGACTGGGTTAATGTCCTGGGGACTCCCGCTGCCCCCAGGTAACCAGGTTTTTGATGTCTAGTCTAGACATCTGACCGGACACTGCCAGGTCCCCTTTTCAACCAGACTTTCTGGTCAAAAACCGGGCATCTGGCAACCCTAAATGGCACTCAAACACAGAAGCCAAAAAACGGACTGCTTGTGTAAAACCCGGACAGGTGGCAACCCAATAGAGAAAAGGTCAGATATACAGACAATTGTGAGAATCTGCTATACAGAAACAACATCCTTTCATTGTCATTCTAAATTAATCATATGGCCCCCATTGTATTGCATACTTACCAATCTCTGATGCATTTATTGTCACACCACTCCTGTAAGGTTGGGAAGTACTATTATCCCCATGTCCCAGTCTAGTGTACTAACTACTAGAACATCCTTCCGCTCTGACATTTATTTCACCTTTGTTTCAATTTAACAAAGCAATTAAGCATTTCCTTGTCTTTCAGCATCTGTGTTATCCTGTCCCTACTCAGCAGAACAGCTAAATACATGCTTTACTGTAAGCATGTGAGTAGTTTCATTTTTCCTTCGATGGGAATACTCATGTGCTTAACGTTAAGTGTTTTGCTGAATAAGGGCTTTCCTTCTCAACACTAATGTTTGGAACCTGGTGGAACTTAAACTGTTTAAAGCAAATTCACTATTCCCAGGAAATAGCAGTAATACATCTTTCAGAGTAGCAGCCATGTTAGTCTGTATCTGCAAAAAGAACAAGAGTACTTGTGGCACCTTAGAGACTAACACATTTGTTTGAGCATAAGCATTTGTGGGCTACAGCCCACTTCATCAGATGCATAGAATGGAACATTTAGTAAGGAGATATATATATATATATATATATATATATATA